TTCGACACTAGAATGCTTCGTCGTGCTTTCTCTTCATCAAGGTCGCCTTCTGACAAATACGAATCCATCTTGAACTGGTGATTGTACTGTTGTTTTATCAGAATTCGCGTCAAGGGAAATTCCCGGAAAAGCCGGAAGTGGCATGTTGCGTGACGTAGAGCGAGTCACGAAAGACAGGCATTGAGAGTAATTACACGGTCTTACATGAACTAATCCTCTTTCTTTCTGGTCTATCTCCTTCACTAAGTCACTATTCTCATTTTAATTAAGTAAAAAAAAGCATTTTACACTAATATATTTTCTAAAATCTGTACCTTGTGGTACTACAACGCAGGCGTTCTCGATCATAGACCATAATAAACTCTAGGATCACGCAGATCACGGCCGAACTGTGTCGACCTTCATTTGCATTTAGTCAGTCTGGATCCAGTGAAGCCTTAACGAGATTCTTTGACACTTTGAATCAGTTTAAGATGAAAGTAAATTTCAAGGAATATCAAGAATATAAAGAATAAAAAGGAAAAAACAATACCTACAATCAGGAGGTAAGATCTTCTTTTAATGCTATATAGAAAAATTGTTGCGCGGTATTCAAAGTTTACATGTTGACCTAAGTAAGATCTAGATTCAAAAACACGTTTTCCGTTAACAATTTTATTATCGCACATGAATTCCATAATCACGTTCATTATTTTTCCCTAAAAATACTTACGAATTAGGTCTTAAGCGATTCTAATTATCTTGATAACAATGGTTAGAACTCACCATTGGAAATTACGACAAATCATTCGAGAGGATAAAGTTAAAGGAGGAAGTATTACGACATTTGGGACGATTATTGAATAATCAACACTGTTTCGTAGAAATAAATACTACTTTTTTAAGTATTCACTTACTTTATGTTCTTTATTACGTTTATGACTGTTTATATTTCTTTACAGACATTTCCGGTTTCATCTCTCGTTGTAGTTACCGCTAGTAGGAAAGTTTCATTGCTTCCACAAGACCCTTAATAACATCCAAAATCATTACCTTAATATTTGTTCCTTATTTTTTTTGCCTAAATAGTGAAGCAAGACACCAATCCCAAGGACAGTATGTCCCTTACTTCATGGGAGTCAGCTAATGAACGGTCACGTGATGTCAGGGTAACGGGTATTTCACCCAAAACAACCAAAGATGCTTTGCTGAATTTCTTTGAGAATAAACGTCGATCAGGAGGGGGMGAGATAGAGGACATTCAGTACAATCAAGATGAAGGAATTGCTGACATTACCTTTTGTGATGCTGAAGGTTTGTCATCATGACAATAAACTTAATTATATTTGTTAATAAAGTTTCGCTGGAGATACATAACTGTTTGATTTAGTATTACTACCCAGCAACATAATTATTCTAAAATTAAGCTGTTAAACATGAGACTAAAATTGCTTTATGTCATTTTCTTATGCGTAGATACTGAGCGTGTATCTCAACAAACATCACTAAATCTTGACGGAGTACAACTTGGTGTTAGACTCAAATCGCTTCCAAATGATCCTCGTAAAGTACACGTAATGGGGTTATCAAACAGAACTACAACAGATGGATTAATTTTTTTCATGGAACTTGCAAGTGGAGAGGAAGTGGAAGACGTTCTTTTAATGGAGGACTCGTGTGGGACTGTTACATTCAAACGACCACCAGGTACTAAGCAATAACAGTTTTATATAAAATACCAGGGGCAACAATGCTAAACTGGATTTTCCGTTTTTTAAATCGTTTTACAGTAATATCAGTGCAAATAGCAGACACAAGAGACATTAATATAAGAATAATAATATAGTAACTATAACTTATTTATTTATCAGTAGCGCACATCTCCAAATATAGGCCAAGGCACTTTACAAATACAATATGACTAGATAAAAACAAATATATAAGATATTCATATAAATGTATAGGTAGAGCGAGTAAATATATGCAGGACTGATTTCCCTGCACTGAGTTCGTTGATCGTTTACATGCGAGTCATGTGCAAATCCCTTATAAAAGCTCGTCATGACTGTACAACTCGTACTTGCTGCATTTCTTACGTATTGACATTCCTTTTCTTTTGCTGAAGACTTACAAAAGATTCAACAAACGTGCTCTAGAAGACGGCTAGATGGCTGCTTTATAAGGTTAGAACAAGAACATGAAATACAGCAAGATGAAAGAGTGCATCCTTTTGAAGAACAAAGACTAAAAGATCCAGAATCCAAGAGAAGGTCGTCTGCTTCAGAACAACCAAAACAGAACATTGAAAGGCGAATTAATTCTGAACGACAGGCAGGTCAAAAAATTTGTAGGAGAATTGCCGGACCAGAAGATCAGGCAAAGCCAAAATCCCAATGCACACAAGTACAGGCAGAACTATGGAGAGGACTTCATCAGAAAGAACACAATATAAGACAAGAAATTGAGCGGAAATATGCTGCAGAGCAAAAAACAAGAGAAGAAATTGAGAGGCAACTTGCCACAGAACGACAAACAAGAGAAGAAATCGAGAGACAACTTGCCACAGAACGACAAACAAGAGAAGAAATCGAGAGGCAACTTGCCACAGAACGACAAACAAGAGAAGAAAATGAGAGACAACTTGCCACAGAACAACATATACGACGACAAATTGAGGAGCAACTTGCCACAGAACAACGAAATAGAGAAATAGCGGAAAGTAGAGCTGAAACGCTTGATCGAAGAGCAAGTCAACTTCAAGCAAGATGTGACGAACTGCTTCTACAGCAGTCTTGTGACTGGATCCTGGACAGAGAGGAAGTAACAATTTCTGATAGAACCATTGGCAGCGGAGCATGGGGAGAAGTCTTAGAAGGTACGTTTCGTGGATGCAAAGTTGCCGTCAAGAGAATCCACGAAATTATTCTTTCTCCTCGAAACAGACGACAATTTGTACGGGAAATGAGCATAGCGTCACGATGTCGTCACCCGTGTCTCCTTCAGTTTATTGGTGCTACAGCTGATGACGCTGTAAGTCCTCTGTTTGTCACAGAACTGCTAGAGACCAGCTTAAGAGCAGTTTTGCACGAACGTGAGCTGGAACCAGCTGAGATATCGACCATTGCACTGGATGTTGCAAGAGGTGTAAACTACTTGCATCTCAATCGTCCCGATCCCATAATTCACCGCGACATCAGCAGTGGTAATGTGTTGCTATGGAGACAGAATAATTCTTGGAGAGCTAAAGTGTCTGATTATGGTACAGCTAATTTTATTCGACAGTGTGTCACAGTATGTCCTGGAACACCTATCTATTCAGCTCCCGAGGCTTTTAATTTTAGACAACAGACTAATAAGGTAATATGAAAAAGTGTTTTTGCGGTTCTGAAGTACTTTCTCTTCATCATACATGTGCGTGGTTTTTTTTTATATCCTATCCCTACTATCCCTACTGATCGGTATTTACTCTCTGAGTCTCAACAAACTTTAAAGAAAACCTCTAAATTAAAGATTGCTTTTTTGGTTTAGATTGATGTTTACAGTTTTGGAGTTTTGCTGTGTGAAATGAGTACTCCAGAGCAACCTGATCCTTTGCGAAGAAACCTGCAAGTTGCAATGGTAAGGAATCGGTGTCACAGGGTGCTAATAGAGAGATGTTTGGAAGAGAACCCCAACAATCGTCCCAGTATGGGAGAAGTTATTGATGCTCTTGAAAGATCCAGAGAAGATCCCATATCCATCAACGAAACTTCATGAATAGGAATGGACTGCAGAATCTGCACAATTTAGTATCATGAGTTACACGCTGTTGCTTATGAATATTCTTGTCGGGTGGGTTGGGTGGTGGTGCACTACTAAGTATTGACTGGATGTATATAGTACTGAATTTAGCGCCATTAACCGTCTATAGAATGTCAATTTATCGCATCTACAGCAAGTTAACACAAGAAGGAGAATACCTCTATTCTTTATTTGTTGATAATTGCTTCATCCTACAGTGTTGATTGTAAATAACAGAAAATAACACTCTTGTACCCTTAGCCTTGATTTTCTTGGCCAGCGCCGAAAACGTCTTATTTTCGTCGACGGAGCTGGCCAAGACAAACGAAGGTTAAGAAAATAAAATGATTATTTATGATAAATCCATCTATAGTGCCAATCCTCTCACGGTCAACTCAAGATGACTCTGCTTGTGTCAAGTATTCAGCATCGCTTTAAGCATTTGTTGCACCTCAGTTAAGTACGTTGGATCTGGATATCCATAGCTGAAAATAAATGAGACGTCTGTGAGACGTTGACACTTCTTCATTAAGTTAACGTTTGTAGCGGCAATAAAATGATAAATAATGTCTTAACTCTCCATATGTATATTGAAAGTGGCAGAGTAAGACTCCCGCCTATTATCAGTCACCAGCTTATCTTTGAGGAGTTTCTAGACAATTGTTAATCTCATGCAAACTCTCTAACCGGAAAATATTAAAAATAATAATGCAAAATAGTGAATTATAGGCTAAACTGCAAGAGCGATTTTTTTTAGTTTGAACTTTTGGCACTCTAAAGCAATCTATTGAGAGCTTAGAATAGAATGTCATGATAACTACAGTCCAGTTATCCAAATTTGCTAGCATAGACAAGATTTCATACAAATCATTATTTGGAAGCACTTTCATACAAAAACCTGTAAGTTAGAAATCATAGTAAAAATGAATTGTGTTAATTAGTGCCTGTTGACTTACTTGGAAGGACCGCCATTGATGCACGTTTTATGTGGAATATCCCCCCATACTATCTGATTATCATATCCTGACGTCATTGACCGTCCTACCGTAAACACCAATCCACGATCAAAAGCTTTCTTTAACAGTCTCATGACGTCACGACCTTGATGGTTGTCAGGGAGATAGGCAGTACGAGAAGTGCTATCATACCGCTGACCAGGGTTTGGATGTTGCGGGCCTTGAATGCCACTGTTCATTGAGTACTGTATCAATATAGTCCCACAGTTTTTATACCCTGGCAAGTTGAAAGGCTGTACACGATGTTGCATGGTACCTTTGGGTTGTCCGTCTGTAGATATCGGCAGTGAATCATTATACATCATAGCACCACTGCCTTCATACCGGGCTGCCAAGCGGAGTGACTCTGAATGATGTACCATGGTACCTTTGGACCGTTTGCCAGAGGTTGTTTGTACTGGATCTCTACACAGTGGACACATTGGTGATTTCTTCAAGGCTTCTTGGAGACATCGCTTACAAAATGTATGTTTGCACTTGGGTAAGGTTTTGGGCTGGTAGATACATGCTAGGCACACAGGGCATTTGTCTTTCTGATCCTCTGTAGATAAATAAGAGACAGGAAGCTGAGGCAATCACTGTTTTCG